TATTCGCTCAGGCTGTTGATCACAGGGGCTTAATCCATTTCACTCATCAAACCTGTGAGAGCCCCCGAGCTGCTACCTAAACCCCCCCCCCCCCCATGTGTGCTCAACGTGTGCATGCTGCTGTTGCTTCATTAGTGTATGCGTGTGTATCGTGGCTGTGTTCACACGTTTTTGGCATGTTTGTAACACACAGTCAGAATTATGATGCGTTCCTCTGACTGTTTTGGCCATCAAATAAACCCCCTGTCGAGGTTTGAGTGTAAAGGAGCTAAACACGCTTTTGGGCAAGTTCACTCGCCTGTGAAATATCCCTGGCTCCTATTTTTATAACCTCTGGATGTTTCCCTGGCTCCACGCTACTTAGAGTAAGACCTGATGTGAATGAATGGCACAAGGCGGCCTGTGAGAGTAAGAAAATAGATGTTGTTATTCAACGTGCACCGCTTTTGTGCCAGAGCAGTTGCTATGGAAGGCTTTAAGAAATACACTGAACTCCTGATAATTTCTGGACATTTTCTGCAGAGGCTGTATGTAAGAACACAAATGTCTGAGTGAGAGAATCTCTCTCCGGAGTTTCCCCGCAGAAAAAATGAGCCGATGGGAGAACGCAGGACTCACTGTGAGTGAACAGGTGTGTTGATGATGTTTCTCACACCCGACAGAAGCAAAATTAAAAAAAATAAAGAAAAGATGAAAAATCTCAAGATGAAAACGGTGTAACATACATGTAGAAGAGATTTTGGTGATATGGGCCGATGCCTGAGTCGATGAGGTGTAAATGGAAACATGTGGTCACAGCCGCAGAATTTATACTTTATGTCCTGCCTCCACCTGCTGCACTGCCCCTCCCATGAATGCTACGGAGATTCTTATGAACACGTCTGAGCAGAGAATCTCCTGCTGCATCGTTCACGGTGAATGCCAAACTCATGAGAAAGTCTGCACCTGTTTCTGTGGACATTCTGTGGGTTCATGTCTGAAACGGCTTTAAACCTCTATTTCTGCTCCCTCTACTTCTACTCTGTTTTTCACGTCAGTCTGTCCCACAGTCCAATATCCTATCTGTCCTCCCCACTCCCTCTCTCCTTGGTCCTGCCCGTCCATCAGTCAGTCAGGGTCCAGTCACCTGGCAGGCTCAATCTCGCCAAGCCCAGGGATTCCTTAATGGTCTGACCCCCTGCAACCAGGGGCCTTATTTCATTAATCTAAGCCCACATTGAAACTCATTCCCTGCCTGACAGCCAGACCTCTCCCCCGGGGCAGTGTGAGGGTCTGCGGGACAGTGAGGGAGGGGGGTGGGGGTGTCGTGCGCTGCAGCACTGTGATCAATAATGCTTGTGACCAAACATCTCAAAAGCACATTAAAATGCCACTCATCCTGGGCCCCTCCATTCCGGGGCCCTCTCCAAATAAATCAAGGGCCGGTCCCAGCAGGTTAGCGGCTGCCAAGGCAGGCGGGCTGGCAGGAGAGGAGGATAGGTGAGTGGGAGGACGGAGAGGGAGGGAGGGGAGGCAGAGCTGGAGAGAGGGGAAAAGTGGTGTGGGAAAGTCAGATAGTCACAGCCGCTCACCACTCGTCTCACTCCTCTGTCTTCTCGTCCGGCCTCACTACCTTTATCTTAACAGCAAAGGAGCTCATGCTGTCGAGCACTGAGCCGCAGCAGAGCTCAGCAGCTGACAGGTATTAATGCGACTACACCTGAATCACTCAGAAAAAACAGTTGTTGAGTTGCTATAATTGCTCTGCAACATCAGCTAATGGATAGCAAATAATAAACTCCTGGCCGTTTAATTTTTTCTTTTTCGTTATATTTTCAAAAGGAGCCAAGTGCACTTTAATATTTTGGGTCAGGATTGTACAAACATGAGGTCTTTTGATAGCAGAGAGTGAGCAAGCTTAAAACTTGACTACGCTCAAAGTTCCACCTACGACACCACAGATATTTGGCGCCTACTCTTTTATAAAGCAGAGCATCTTTTGTAAATGTTTTATAATAACGCTCACATTAAGAGGCGTTGAATACACAATAACTCTGGTCTTAGGTGTCCTCCTGTCCCTGAGCTGTTGTGACACTGCGCGTGAGTTTGCCACGGCGCTCCTGCAAGACCCTGTGATGACTAAGACGCAGGAAGCCTCAGCGGCTCTGCCATCCCACGTGTTTCTGGCTCTGTCGCCGTGTGACCTTGGCTGCAGCGTTCGTCATCGGAGGCGCTGCATCCCACTCACTGCACTTGGCAATTAAAATTCCAGAAACAATTATGTGGCGTTTAAAACTAGAAAAAAAAGAGGACACATTCTGTATGATTCATGCAGAGAAAAGGACGCAGATGAAAAAAAATACTTTAAGTTTAAGCGATGCATGGATTTCAATTATACCCATGGATTTGTGGTTGATACGCAGGGCTGGTGGAGTCGTTAAAATAAGTTCTGATTAATGGTGGATGGGTTTGGTTGGGTGAAATAGACTGATTGGACGAGTAATCAGACGACATTCCATGGCCGCAGCTCCTTGCTAAGAGAATCTTGTGGATTCCTGCAACAAGCGCTGCGAGCGAGCGCTCATTCAACGCAGCCGGGCACATCATTGAAGCGAGGCACTTAAATCCTGGCACAGTGGATGTTATTTTATTTTTTGAATGTTCATGCTGGTGCAGATCTCTAAATCTGAGAATAAAATTCCTTCGGGTGAGTGATGGGTGGATGAGTCAGGCATAAGTGAGGACAAGGATGACGTCAGAGCCGATCCGTGCATCTCTAGTAATCTCAAGCAAATTCTATTACAGTGTGAACAAGTGGCCCTTTAATGCAGAAAAAAAGTGGATATGTTACAGTGAAGTCCCCGTTTCTGGAGCATTAATGTGAGGCGGGAGAGCAGAGCTGCAGGAGAGGGAGAGCTCCCTTTCGGCTAATTTTGGGCGACAGCTGAGCGACTGCTGGAATGCGGCAGCGTTGCACGGTGCCTTTATTAGCAGTCATATTAGCGGCTGTTCTCAGCAGGGGCAAAAGCTTTAGCCAGTCATTAGCATCACACGCTATTTGTCTCCCTGACACAGGGATGAGGCCGCTGTTGCCTCTCCCTCTGCCTCATCTCACTGCTGCTCTCTTTCTCTCGACTCCTCTCGCTCTCCCTCTCTCATCATCTCCTGCTGTCACCCCACATTCTCACCTCATATTTCTCCCTCACAGTTCTCACTCATCATAACCTTACCTGCTCCTCTTCCCACCACACTCTCTCCAACTCCTTCGTCTATATATCTTGGAGTGTACATTACCTCACTTCTCCCACACCAATTTACTCTTTCAACCTTCTTTGCCTCCTTTTCTCTCTCTCTCCTCTCTCTCTCTCACACACAACCTCAGCTTCATTGTTGTCTCCCTCCTTTTTTCTCCCACCAGAGCGTGAGTGGAGATGCACCACCTCTGGCTGTGCCCCCTATCCAGCAGAAGGATCTATAGACACGTGTGGCAGAGCCCCGTCTCCATGGTGATACCCTGCAGAAATCCATGAGGGATTCGCCATCCTCACAGCCAGACAGTGAGGAAAAATGAGAGAGAGAGGAAGACAGACAAGGAGAGAAAATGAGAGGTGGTGGTGGGGGGGGATAAAAAGGGCTATAGGAGGGAGACAGATGGTGTATGAGTGTATGGTTATTGTGCATGTGTGTATATACTTGATTTTCAGGCACACAAAATTGGGTAATGTATAGGAGAGGAGTTACAAAGAGGATCAGAAATGTGTGTTTGTGTGCGTGCCTGTGTGTGTGTGTGTGAGAAAGAGCAGAGAGGATCATTTCAGAGCTGTCAGGCTTCTCCTGCTAGCAGGGGAGAACAAAAGACAGTGTCTTGGTGCAGGAGGCTCAGCGCATGGCAGACGCTGCAATTTGGGGCGTTTTCTTGCGGCTCAGGCTCCAGCTCGCATATCAGCCGCCACAGCTCACACACACACACACACACACACACACACACACACACACACACANGTCTCTGCGCAGCCTCGAGGCTGTGATGAGTTAATTGACTGCAGCTGAGCGCGCTCCCGACACACTCACAGTGGCAGAGAAGAAGAACGATGGTGAGTAAAGTGAAGACTGTTCATATTTAAACTGTTTCCCTCATGTCGGGGGGGGGGGTCACGAGTTAAAGTACATGAACTCATCATGTGTTAAACAGTGTTTATTTAGTCACAGGCTGCAGCGCCCCCTGTTGTCTGTCTGCAGCACCATCATACATCCTGCGTGTGCATTACACACACACGCACACACACACACACACACACACACACACACACACACACACACACACACACACACACACACACACACAGAAGAATGACTGTCAGTTACTCGGTTTTTGAAATAATCCTCAGTAAAACTAAAAATGATGCTTGTGTGCAAGTGTTTATGCCCAGAAACGAAATGTCCACTTGGATTTACACTGAAGTTTCAACAGTGATTAAAATCAGATCTCCTGGTGTTTGGTTACATATTTGAACAAAAGCACTGACATCAGATTCTACATTCCTCTGACAATGCTGCGGTTAGTATGTTTCAGGCTGTGCAGTGCAGAAGTGAAGTAGCCGAAAGGCATCGGAATCCAACAGACACGCTGTCCAGCTCACTGGTTCAATAAGCCTGTTGTTGCCCATTGGCTGCTCCAGCTCTAATGTTTAGTAGCTGGGAGCCAACAAACCCCATCTCAACTTTAGTCATAAACACTCTGCCCCTTGCATCGCCTTGACTCTCGCCGTTAACTCTTGCACTTGTTTTAGCCATGCCACTGCCAGTGTCCTCATACCATACAGTCTGTGTAGTCTCCTCTTTATCCCGAGCCCAGCGTGAGCCTCGGAGCTCGCACTGAGCCACGCCATCCCTCAACATGGCTGAGATGCAGAGCTGTGGCTGGCAACCACTCTAATGGGCACAGCAACATCTTCCTACATTTCATCCTCACTCCCTGAGCCCATTTGAAGCCTCAGCTGCTCCCTTATAATACCATATCTGCCAAGGACCAAACATCAGGCTTCCTCATGGATATTTTATGTGCCTAATAGTGTATCTATCAAGGAGACGGAATATAATTGGTGGGGAATCTGAGATGAAGCTGAGGGCATGAGAGATGAGGGATGCTCATATTGTGAGATATTTTATTTGTTCCTTTTGCGAAACACTTGCGAAATTTAGACCTTGATTGTGACATTGTTTTGATGAGTCAATACAGCTCAACAACATGATTCAGGATTTTAAATCCCTTTTTCTTTCTGAATTGAAGGATCCAAGGTAGACTTACCACAAGCTACTATATGCTCCTGTACAAACAACAAGTCTGTATATCTTCATCTGCATTAAAAAAAGTTTGACAATGTCAAGGAGAAGCACTACAGTACCCATAATCCTCAGGTGGAATAGCGGTGGCTGTGGAGCTCAATGTTGTCATGCAAGTTTTTCTAACAAAGATGAGGCAAAGTGTTCAAAGGTGAAAATCCTTACAACAAAGTTAAATTCTAGAGAAAGCAAGCTGGAGGTTGTTGGAAAGGGATAATTCGCAATGGTTTCTGGGACATGTAGGTCCTTCACTCATAAAATGATTTTGCCCACAGTCTTGTACCATTGTTTTCTTTACAGTATTCACTCAGAACCAGAGCTGTTCTTAAAGTGGGCGTAAGCATTTGTTGCTTCCAGCTTCTCAAATGTGAGGATTTTCTCGTCTCACATAACAATAAATCAAATAAATGTGGGATTTGGTCTGTTCAAAGTCACCACACCCATTTGCGGATGTCATTTATCACAATTTTCATACGTTTTAAAACTATATATCTTTGGCTGAGCAATAGCAGCCGCTGCAGCTGTAATTCACACAACTGAACGATGTCTCCTCATGACACGGCTTCCTGAACCAGAAGAGCCGATGTTGTAGCAGACACCAAACTCCATTTACATTTCTGTACACTTTAAAAGATTTCCTGATGAATATCGGTGATGAACTCAGATTTTTTGATAATTGCTGATCTTTTTAACTGATCTTCAAGTCGGCATTACTCTTAAACTTTAAGCATCTTACTATTATTTAGTTGAACACCTCTCGTGGGCAACTGTACCCACTCACTGAGGGGTATACAATAGGAATGATAGAGGCACCATTGTCCCCATTAGAAATCAATGTATCATCAAAATTATTTTAAAGATAAAATAGTTGGGTTACAAAACGCCATTGTATAAAATAATGATGTTATAATGTGACTTGAAAATAAAAGTAAATTCAGACCACAAGCCCAGTAAACACAGATCTAAAAAAAAGAAGTATTTAAGAGGGTTGTAAAAGAGGATAAGGACTCAGTCAGTCTGACTTTGTTTCATAGGGTCGGCCCCATAACAGAAAAGGTCCAGTCACCGTTGGTCCTCAGCCTTGTTAGTGGATTGGCTATATATAATCTGACATTAAATAATCTAACAATAGGTTCAGGTTCAGTGGGTCAAATTATTTTGTATTTGGGTCTTCAGACTCCTGGAATTCTATGTAACATTGATTTCAAGGATTTTCAGACAGAACTGGCAGAATATTGACATGTGTTTCACACAAGATATTTTGCATAATTTCCTAGTGGAGGTCCTGAGCAGGGGAGCTCATCGGACAGCACATTCTGAGGGTGTAATGCGGCTATCTGTCATCCTGCAGCTAAATTCACTCCTGGATTAGCCAAGTAAGGAGTCTCTCTCTCCCTCTCTCTCTACCAGCGTAATGACTCCAATCAATCACCCAGACTCTCTCTCTCTCACACTCTCACACACACACACACACACACACACACACACACACACACACACACACACACACACACACACACACACACCTACACAAACAGAGGCCAGCTAGTTAGTTGCTAGCCCAGCAGCCATTTTGGAAATGGAATTCTTCCCTCCAGCTTGTCAATTTGTCTCTGTAAACCACAGTGGAGGCTGTCGCAGGAGTGGATTATTTGGATGAACTGATAGAATTGATTTGATGTGATTGAATTGAAGGTAGTTTAATTAAACTGGCAGCACTAATGCTACTATATTTTAGTCATTGCATTTGATGCTAAATAACATCATGTGCATCAAATTACTAACTATGATATATCATTAACATGTGAAACTAAACTATGGATGAAACGATTGGTTATTGATATATTGCAGATTCTTTCATTCAATTGTTTCTCAAAATATCAGGAAATTGTGAGAAACGCCATTTTCCAAAAGCCCAAGGTAATGTTTTCAAACCAGACTTTTTATGAAGATTGATAACATGACTGCTCCCCAAAAGTGAAGCCAAACTGTCATGATCGCCACCCGGTGGCTGGCAGCAGTATAGATCATAAATCCCACCTTCTCCGTGTAAGTAGAGATATTTTTTTTAAAGATGCTTTCTGTCATTTTAAGTAGTTCTTTATACACTGATGCTTTAAACCAGTTGTTTGATTATATAAAAACAGGGTGAATCTTCATGATTGACAGCTAAGTCTGACTTGCCCGACCGCGGTTTGATCTCCCAATCGCAACTACACAGACTCCAACTGCACAAGATGGCAGTGTTCATATCCGGGATATTTTGGTTTCATTTCTGGATAGTGGGAGGAAGTGGAGATATGTCATCCCTCTTTATATATGGTCTGTTCTTCAAACAGCTTGTTTCGTCTGATCAACAGTCCTCAGCTTATGATGCTTAAAATTAGTCTAATTAAACAATTAAAAATAGTAGCTGATAGAACGGGAGCTCTCTTTGCAGAAAAAAAAAATCATTTTCTTTCCTCAGGGAAAGTCTGTGAAGTCTGGTAAATGTCCTGTGATGTCATGTGATGTCACTTGAGTCAAGGTTGTCTGTGTCTGAAGACTTGATGTTTGAAAGTAAATAAAATCTGGTCGTGTGGAGTTAGAAAGATATGAACCTATCAGACCTCCTCGTCTCTGCTTGAGGTTATAGAGACTTGATGCTACAATACCCACTACTAGCATACCACACCCAAACCTCTGACCCAGCTGTCTGCGGTCAACTTGTATCATGGGTAATGTAGGCAACCAGGTCTATTCTGAAATAAAATAAACTATTGCTGCAGAATTGTAAGTGCATTGCAAATTCAACAGAGATCTTGTATTCCAAACAACAAAAAGTAGATACTTATAAAAATTCTATAAATACTGAGGTCTGGACCTTACTATATAAAGTGCCTTGTTGTGATTTAGTGCAATACAAATAGAATTGAATTGATAATCTACATCCAAAAGCAGCATTAGAATTATCTTTGCACACCAAGTCTGTATTTTTTGTCCAAAATTGTGTTTAATTTAAAAGTTAAAAATAAATTCAATCATGTTAACACATTGACTCTTTGTACGTTTTTGGAGTCAGTTGGATTTGCTGCGTTTTTCGCATCATAACAGAAACCTTCCAGAAACTTGTTTGATCACTGACATCCTGCAATACACTTGAAAGCAATTTGAATAATTTCGGAGTTCCTTGATCAAAAGATGAAATTCTACTTGCCCCCTGACGGTTTCTCAGGATTGGATGGACCCAGCAAATGTTTAGAAGGAATAGAATAATAAAAACATTGGACTCATTTCACAAGGTTTCTGTGCTTGATGATGATTATGAGACACATGCGAAAAATATGACTTGGTGTGCGATGACCCTAACTCTTTACCATAGAGCTTTATTGGCGACCACACCTTATTAAAAACATATCAGTGAGAATGCTAATTATTGCCACTGAATCGACAAACCTTTGTATTCTTACCTAGTCCTGGAAATATTTATGTTAAAAAACATAAAAGGCACAATTAACTCCTTTATTAGTAACTTTGATAAAAACTACATCACCCGATTGTTTAAAAAATAAAGGTGTGTTTATAAACTCTATATCTACGACCTATTTCTTTAAAAAAGATTTACGATTGTTATACTGGAACATGGTTGGGAAACACATAAAACGGGAGAAGTTGGAATAAAGCGCTGCAATAATGTACAGTTGGTTTTTTTTTATGAGAGACATTAACATAATAATAATAATAAACAAACAACAGCCTTGTCCTTTGCAGTAATTCTCACAGAATAAAGTATCTGTGTTGCAGTGAGATTGCCGCTGTGCATCGTGTTTACCAGGCTCCATCTCCTCAGCACAGGAGGAGGGCTTTCTGACACTGATGTAATTTAGTTGGCAGCTGCTCTGAGGAGAGGGTTGGCCGGAGGTGGGATTGCAGGGGGAGGCTGCGACTGGGGAGGGAGAACTAGTGGTGGGGGGGAGTCAGGGGTTAGAGGTCAGGATGTGCCCGGCCTGGAGCTGGCCCTGAGCAAACTGCTGCCTCCCATCCTCCCACCACCCCCAAACCCTCCGTCTTCATGCCCACGTTCCCCTGGCACGCTCCGCACTCACTGCACATGATCTGTTATTCCCTTTGATGGCTTTCCTCGGGGATGGCAGTTATAAAAAAAGAGAAAAAAAAGAGGAGGATGAAAAAAAAAAGCGTAAACACCACCTGTTTATCTGACGCCGTGTAATGTCAGAGATGTACTTTTCAGGATTGTCATATACGATGCACAGGAGGCAAATAAGGGTGGGGAGGGTTAAAGAGAGAAAAATAAACAAATCAGAGAGGAGGTCATGACGAGGGATTTCACATATGTGCCTCTGTAAATCTGGTGGCCACGGTTATGAAGTGCTTTCAAAGTGAGAGTTTATGTGAGGACAGAAAACGCAGCAGGAAAAAAATAACGTGCCATGCGTTTAATGTGCAATGAAGGTTCTTAATGGCTCAGACAAGTGCAGTTTTGGTGAGATTTGGACACTTGATACATTCAACATTAATACAATTTGATTAATATTTAGATTGAAATTGCTTCCTCTTTAGCAATTTGTCTACAAAAAACCCCTCAACATTTCTCTGTGTTTTCTGCTGCAATGCTTTATGTCGAAGAATTTCTTTTTGACAAGTGGTGAACTTCGGTCTGAAGATTATGTCCATGCTTAACAGACCTCCGAAATAACCAACATGTATTGATAAAAAAAAACACCAGCTAATTAAATAATTCACACACGTAAACAGTAATAAAGCAAATTCAGTTTCAGTTCATGAAATTGGTTTTACCATAAAATCTTTGCTGCGGCTAAACCAGGTAGGATGAAAACAAAATTTTCTAACTTTACTCTGCACCATATAATGAAAACTCTGCACACAACTTCCAGCAAATAAACAATAAAAAGTGACAGTATATTGTAGAACAATTTGAGGAGGACTCACTAATGACAAGGAATAATTCTGAAGTAGCTCCAGATCATTAACATTAACATTAAAATTAACATTAACGTAGCCCATTCCTAACAGGCATGTTTAGAACAAGCACTGAACTAGTTGTCACAATACACTGTTATTACACTTTTACTGTTGTTTCACAAGACAAGGACCAATCTCTGTCCGGCCCCATTCTCCACTCGTGAAATGATAACAACAGTATCAGAGCCAAACTGAAATGAGCCCCAAGGCTGCTTACGCCGTCTCAAGTGCATAAGCTAATGACAGAGCTGACAGATCCAACCAACTCTGTTCTTTTCACCCTCAGCCCACACTGCCTTTTCGGTGATATAAAGCTTCCCCATTAAATATGGAAATTTCCGTTTCGGTGACAGATACTTCACAGAGGGGGGCTGATGGCAGAGACGGTGTTTTTTTGGAAGGGGAAGTGGCAGATTTTGATTAATGCGACCTTATCTGGTTCTGCACATGGAGGCAGAGGGGTTGCTGAGCTTGGCGGGGGTGGATGGCTTGCTTGTTCTCCTCTTCCTTTTTCCAGGCCTCTTTCTCTCCCTCTGTCTCGATTTGAAATGATTTTACTAACTCGCTCGCTCGCTCTGCATTTCTGCTCCTGCCGTCTCCTCGTTCTCACATTTGTAGTTAGTGCACTCATCCTCTATCTCTGCGATAATGTAAGCTTTGCTCTAACGTCTTGTAGTCACACTGTTCTTCAACTTCATATAACCCTCTGATAATTCTATGTGATTTCTCTCTCACCCTCTGTCCCCTCTTCACCCCGTTCATCTCTACATCCCTACTTCCTTTTCCTATTTCACTTAGACATTTCCTCTTAAAACTGCTCCTCCCCTCTCCTCTCATCTTCCTGCCCTCTTCCTCTGCCTCTTCATCTACTCTCCTTCTCCTCTCCACCTTCCCTAGTTGTTCCTCTCCTCTCCCCTCTTCTTCCTCTCCTCTCCACTCCCTCTCTCTTGCCTCATCCTCTCCTCTTTCACACCCACTGCTCTTCCTCTCCCTCCTCCTCCTCTCCTCTCGGGCAGAGAGTGAGGTGCAGCGGTGCCACCGCTTCCCTCTGTCACTCCATCACCATGCACCTGGCCCAGTTCCAATGCTTTTAGTGAGAGCTATCTGTCAAGCTATGAATAATACAGGCCCAAGGCTGGCGCTAGCTTGCTAGCTAGCTATGTGGAATCCAAATGAGGTCTACAGCAGGAAGAGAGCACTTGACTTTTAGCTCGCTACCACGCTCCCCCTACCAAGGCAGGCAATTACTCAGCCCACAGCTCCAGCTGCAGTCATGGCAATCATAATCGCAACCCCTCGCATCCCTGTCTGCACACACACACACACACACACACACACACACACACACACACACACACACACACACTTACATATATGAGCAAACACACACACACAGACACACAATTACATGTATGAGCAAACACACCACACAGAGACACACACTTACATGTATGAGCACACCCACAGACATCTCCTGATCCAAACACCAATATTGTCTATGCCGAGAAACAAAGTCTGTACAACTTTCCTGCCACTCAGGACAGAAAATCCTTCGTGCTTCTCTTCTGGTCGTGAAATGAACGGGGTACGTTCAGAACTGTTTCACTAAGTCCATTGGTATAAATGAAAAAAACACGGTGACAGTGATTTCAAGGAGGATAATGACAGAATCATGTGTGTAATACTCCAGTCCATCTACAACATATATTTATATGTAGTAGTCTATACATAGCTTTAAAATAAGTTTTTATAGAATAACGTTAATGGTAATGCTTTTACTATGTGGTTTTTATCGTCTATAATTCATTTTCGCCATTGATTCCCGTATGTTTCTGTGTCTGTTCGATGTGTCTGCTCGCTGTGTCTCAGGACGTTTTTTGCATTATCTGTCCCTGCTTGTATTTATATATGAATCTTCTATAATTCATTTGCTGCCCATCTTATCCAGGACTCCCTGTCAGAACAGATATTGTAGCTCAATGGGACTTCTGCCAAGGCCAAACAGTCCTGTACGAAGTCACATTAGAATTCCCTACATACAAAGTTTTATTTGGATCTGCACCAAATTAGACACACACACAAGTCCACTAAACATCTTAGATATTTTGTTGAAAAATGCCCAAACCTATCGCACTGTTGAAGACAGTGAAAAAAAAAAAAAAGATTTGCCCCCGATCTGGGTCCACACAAAAACTGAATGGATTTGTCCATGACTCATACATACACAGCATCCTTCCACCAAGTTTCGAGGTTATTCGACATTCGTGGATATTTTTGCTTGCAAAAAAAAACAAAACAACCAAGAACAAATCCTAAGGTGGAGCCAGGGGGGCACTGGCCATAGCTGAAATCCACTTGGCCACTTAATCACTTATTAACAATGCTATCAACACTAACAGTAATTTGTTAATAATGTGACAATTATCAAGACATATTCACTGATATGAAACTTTGATCTAATCTATAGAGCTAACAGTAAACAAGGAATGACTTAGATGTGCACCTTACTGAATCAGGAATTGTGCATGGATGTTGAACATATAATTGGCCCCTCTGTGTAGTTTGAGGCCCCTTTATGGCCCCTGATTTAGAGAAATCCTAGATCCACCACTGCAACCAACAAACAGACAGGGGTGAAAACATAACCTTGCTATATTTTTCATTGCAGAATAAGTTTAATGTCTGGAGACAAACACTCTGACCCAAATGTCACCAAAGGAGCTCCTCCTGTCGTTCTGATATTCCATATTTAAACCGGCGCAGAGCCGCAAAGATCCATTATCATCGGCGGAGTCACTTCATCACGTCTTATCTGATGATTAACAGGAGACACGTCGTCCACCTTTATCTTACTTGTTCTACAGTTATGGCAGGAGGCTGAGAGGGCTATCACATGTATCAAACATATGACACATGTATGGCAGCGTAATTAGCTTTGCACCGAGGCATCCTGAGGTGACAGTGTTAACCCATCCGTCATTTCTTCTAATCATTCGTCGGCGGAGTGTGGGATGTAATTACAGAGTGCTAGGCAACGACAGGCTTCACAGGTAAAAATAGTCATGCAAGGATGAAGAGACTCCTGCATGTGTTTGGCATGTGGGGTGTGTGTGCAAAATGTTTGTGCATGTGGTTGGGAGGGAGGGGGTGTGCGCGCGTGTGTGGCTGTGGGTGTCTGTGCGTATGCATGCCTGGGTGTATTGTGGTAATGAGATCTAGTTAGTGATGCTCCAGAGTGTCTTATTAACAAATAATAACAGCAGTCCTTTGTTTTTTTTTTACCTCTCCCCCCATCTATTATTCACACCTCACAGATTTACTCATGATTCATTTATAGGAGCATCTTGTGCAACCTAGAAACTAAATGTCACCCAAAACATCACTTTCCGATGTATTTTTGTATGTATGAATCGAATCAGAGCATGTGTGTCTGTGTGTTTCATCACTCACTGGGAGTGTGTCCACCTTCGATTTGCAATGCACTGAATAAACTGCATTAACAATCCAACAGTACTGTAGGATGGAAAAATCTGCAATCTATCTCCGTCCGTATGTGCACACGTGTCTGCAAATGATAGAGCGCCATCGAAATAGACGAATCAGATCGTGGTGAGACGGTAGTGAGGCCATTCTGCCATTCAACCCCCCCTGTGGTGAAATCAGCATGATGCCTGGTGTACTTTAGCTGGATTCTGTTTCCGCTGAAATTGCCAGGTTGGAGAGCGGCACTCAGCTGGGAATGCTGCTCTACATGTGAAGTAGGTTGTGTGTGTGAGGGCTTCGGAGGTGTCTGCGTGCATGCGTGTGTGTGGCTTGTACGTCTATATTTGTGTCGGCGCGGATTAAGAGCGACGACCTGGGTGTGAGTGTACGTGCGAATGTGTGTGTCAGTGTGTTGCCCTCTGCCTCGCTCGCCTCGCTCCCCTCTCTCTCCAGGTGAAGAGCCTGCTCTGAAGGCTCTGCTCCAGTCGAGGGCCCTTGAAGTCAGCCTGGCAGCACTTTACCCAGATAGAGGTAAGCCTACAGTAGACCATCTGTCTTAGCCGCAAACACTTAATGGACCATCAGACGACAGCCACAAGTAGTTTGGCATCAGCAGCCAGCAATGCCCTTGTAGAGTATTTTGTAGGT